CTGCCTCAAGGAGCACTCCGGTGTCGTCGCCATCTCAGACTTTGAAGCAGAGCTCCATGCGCCAGAATTCCACCCCTCCAACATCCATGGGGAGGTGCAGAGGCATGGGCTGGTCGTGGATGACCTGGCAAGGGACATGGAGGCAGTGGGCCTGCAGCAAGTGAAGGTGCTGCGGCCGTTCAAGATTGACAAGGACGTGGAGTCTGGCGGGTCTAGGAAGTTCCAGTTCATCCTCAGCCTGGGAACGCGCCCCTGAGAATAAGATGCTGTACAGTTGACTTATTGACCTGAGATTGAGGTGTGGGTTGTTTACTGACTTCATATATTTTTGGCAGGGTTTTGCTGCTGCAGGGATCAGTACATACCATAAACATTAGTGCAATGTGATTCAACAACGGCATGATAACACTAGCCACAACTGATCCAAGGAGGTTCTCCACCTTGCAGTCACAGTGAATACCAATCACCTAGGCAAGGCGCAGGAAGGCACAACTTGGGCTGAAACGTGTAAGAAAAGCGACAGCTGAGCCAAAACAGAGGCTGACAGGAGCCTCCGCATGCCATGCCAAAATTGCAGTCCAGCAAGCTGGACGGGCCAAGACCAAGAGCTCAAATCAAACAGGGGTGTCAAAGATGGCTTGGATGGTTGTCTCAAAGGAATCCAAACCAGTTTCCACATTGCTGAAGGAATCCAGGATGTACTCCCTGCAACAAGGGCGCAGACATTTGGGCAGTAGAAGGAGAATGCGGTAAGCTCGGTGCAGAAAGGACAAAAGGCGAGCGCGAAAGGTGAGTGCGGAAGATGATTGGCCTCAACTCTTCTGCCAGGCGAGGCATGAGGATCGGAGCCCTGAGCTTTTTTTTGAGGCGCCTCAAAAGGGGTGAGTGCGGAATATGATAGGCCTCTATTCTACAGCCAGGTGAGACATGACTCACCCGGGAGGGGGGTCGGAGCCCTGAGCCTCTTTTTGAGGCACCTCAAAAAAGGTGAGTGCGGAAGGTGATTGGCCTTTACTCTTCTGCCAGGCGAGGCGTGACTCACCGGGGAGGGGGGTCGGAGCCCTGAGCCTCTTCCAGCAACTGGTGCAGCTCTCTGAACGCCCTGGTCGGGTTGGAGGGATGAGGGTGGGGGTAGTGACCAAAAGGGTGGGAGTTGATAAGTTGACAATCAGCCATGGGGCCCTTCCCGCACCTGGTGGAGCGCACTGAACGACCTGGTGGGGTTGGAGGGATGAGGGGAGGGATGCGGGCTGGGGTAGTGACCAAGGGGAGGGGGAGTTGATATGTTAACGATCAGCCCTACTAACAACCAGCCATGGTCCCCTTCTCGCAACTGGTGGAGCTCTTTGAACGACTGGTGGAGTTGAAGGGATTGAGATTGGGGCAACGACCAAGGGAGGCTTGGGGGTATAGGAATTTCAGTATCCAGAGCATTCTGCAAGTGAGGTAAAAAAGAACAAGATCATACTGTCCAACTCTCATCTAGTGAAATCTCCTTCCCTCCCCTCCCTCCCATTCCTTCCCTCCTCCCCTCCCTCCCCCGCCCCCGTTTCCCCCCTCTCTCCCACCAGATGAGATCCAGCAGAACCTCCTCCGCTAGCACGAATGCAGGGTCGTTCTTATCCAGCAGAGAGGCGGCGTTCTTATCGAGCTTGGATGCGCACCCTTACATTAATCTCCCTACCCCTCCACACCCCCGACACCCCACCCAGCCCACCAGATGAGATCCAGCAGAACCTCCTCCCCTAGCACGAATGCAGGGTCGTTCTTATCCAGCAGGGATGCAGCGTTCTTCAAGATGAGCTTGAACGTGCACAGCTGGAGGACGGAGAGGGGAGAGCAGGGAGAGGGGGGGAGGGGAGGTTGAAAGTGGAGAAAACTTGAGACGCTTAAACAGAATGAGCTAGCAGGGAGGCGGCATTCTTCAAGATGAGCTTGACCGTGCACAGCTGGAGGGCGGAGGGGGGGAGAGGGGCGGAGGGGAGGATAGAAGCAGAGAAAATCTGAGGCGGCAAAAAAGGAGCGAGTTAGCAGAGAGGCGGCGCTCTTCAAGATGAGCTTGAACGTGCACAGCTGGAGGGAGGACGGGGGAGGGGAGGGGGAGCAGAGAAGGAACAGCGAAAGGTGAGGGGGGGAAGCTGTATCCAGCAAAGAGCAGAGGCTATCCTAGGATGACATCGGTGTAGCACTGCGCATGTGAGTTGGTCGTGAAATCGCTTCCATGCGTGTCGAGTCTATTTTTTAAACGCCTAGAAAATGGACTCCTCGTAACAGAGGCTCTCCTGGCAGAGTCCCTTTTTTAGGCGTTCCTGGCACCAATGCCCATCTGCACCAATGTCTGGATGCCAGACACTGCACATGCACAGACAATGTCTGAGGCACTGCGCATCAGAGTTGGTCGTGAACTCGCTTTTTGCACCCCATGCGTGAGGAGCCTACTTCTGAGGCGCCTCAAAAGTAGCACTGTGCGTCAGAGTTGGTCGTGAGATCGCTTCCTGCACCCCATGCCCTCGCGCATCCACGAAGCTCAAAAGCGCATCCACGAAGCTACTTTTGAGTCGACTCAAAAGCGCATCCACGAAGCTACTTTGAGTCGACTCAAAAGCGCATCCACGAAGCTTGACACACATGCCGTAACCCCCGTCACCTTTGCTCCCCTCTCACCCTCTCATCTCTACTCCCTCACTGCTGCGTCCGTCTACCCCCCACCTCCAACCCCTCACCTCCACCCCCTCACCTCCACCCCCTCACCTCTACCCCCCTCACCTCCACCCCCTCACCTCTACCCCCCCTCACCTCTACCCCCTCACCTCTACCCCCTCACCTCTACGCCAGGAGTAAAGCCTGGGGCGAGGCAGTCGAGGGAGGCTTCCCTCACTCCTGCCTGGACTGACGCCAGGTCAGACTGGGCTGTTGAGGACACTGCAGGGAGTGAGGGGAGGTGAGATTGAGGGAGGGAGGGAGGGAAGACATGTAAAGCTCCCCCCTCACTCGTGCCTGCACCAATGCCAGGTCTAGCAGGGCGCTGAGGGACAATGCACAGTCCCCCATCGCCTTCACACCCACCCTTCCACCCACCCTTCCACCCACCCTTCCACCCACCCTTCCACCCACCCTTCCACCCACCCTTCCATCCACCCTTCCATCCACCCTCCCACCCTCCCACCCTCCGACCCACCCTCCCACACAGCCACCCATGGGACTCAGCCTTGGCAGCCGCAAGGCGCACAGAGGAGACGCTGAGAGGATTGAGCAGACGCTTTGCACCCATGGGTACACACCTAAACACCTACACGTACACACGTACACACCTACACACCTACACACCTACACGTACACACGTACACACGTACACACCTACACACCTACACACCTAACGTACACACCTACACGCCTACACACCTACACACCTACACACCTAACACCTACACACCTACACACCTACACACCTACACACCTACACACCTACACGCCTACACGCCTACACACCTACACACCTACACACCTACACACCTACACACCTACACACCTACACACCTACACACCTACACGCCTACAAACCTACACACCTACACACCTACACGTACACGCCCACACGTGCACACGCCCATTCACCCAACCAACCCCACACTAACACAACCACTCACCAACCCAACGAGCCACCCACCGAACTCGGCCTTGGCAGCTGCAAGGCGCGCAGAAGAGACGCTGAGAGGGTTGAGCAGAAACTGCATAGACTTGCGCTTCTGCGCTTTCAACCACTCCTTGGGGCCGGCTGGGGCGAAATATGGGGGGTGGGGGGGAGCGGGAAGTCATGCAGTGGCAAGAGGAGCCGTTTGAGATGTTGCAATCTGGCTTGCGATTCAGCGCCTTGAGCCACTCCTTGCTATTAGCTGGAGTCGAAAAAGGGGAGGGGTAGGGGGAGGGGGAGGGGGAGGGGGAGGGGGATGGGGAGGGGGAGGGGAGGGGGAGGGGAGGGGGATGGGGAGGGGTTAGGGGAGGGGGAGGGGGAGGGAGATGGGTAGGGGGAGGGGTAGGGGGAGGGGGAGGGGGAGGGAGATAGGTTGGGGGAGGGGTAGGGGGATGGGGAGGGGGAGGGGGAGGAGCGAGGAGGCCGTAGGGGCTGTCTGAGATACCGCACGAGTGCGGGCATTCCCAACCAAATGAATACCTCTGGAAAATACGATACGATACGATACGGGGGCTTTGAGAGGTTCGAGCTGCATTGCTCCGGCCATACTCTAGGGAAAGCACGCACCCAAACCAAAGGCTTGCGCGCTTTCAGGAGCGGCTGTCGCGGCAATCCCAAGGCTCAGCGCCACAGCGGCGGCGGCAGCGGCTGGAGCAAGGAGAACTGACCGACGACTCACATCCGCCGCCGCTGCTCCCGTTTCCGCTCTACCGGCCTCGAAATCGGGGACGGAATTATCGACGGACGACCTTATCGCCAGTGATCCTCTCTGAATAGCGGTTCGGCCAGCGGCATTCCGATTTGCTGGCTGACGTGGCAGCGCGTGCTGCGTGGCGAAGCGGCATTGACTGGTGGCTGACCCGAGGAGAGGCGCGGCGGGCAAGAGAGACGCCATGGCGTTAAGAGCGTCGGTCTGTTTATGAAATGCCGCGAAGCGCCTCTCTTACGCCGAGCTCAGGAGAGCGAGAATTGAGGTTTCGTGAGCAAAAATTGACCAGTTGTGTTCGGAAGGAATCTGCTGATCAGATAAGGAAGGCAGCAGAAGCGAAGTGCTGGTTGGTTCGGAGCGAAGGGGCGCGTGTGAGGGAGTGAGGGTGGAAATTACGGAGGGTGGTTTCTCCTTAGAAACGTATTTCGACGGAGCGGTCAGCGGAAAGTTTTAGAAGCGGAAGCCAGAGTGACCATTATATTCCGGAGCAGTCAATCTACAGTACAAATCCGGACAAGCAAAATTAAATCCGCGGCAGGGTTCAGGATTTGGACAAACAAATTTGGGGCTGCTTGCCGCGCAATTCCCAACAGATTCTCCCCTTCTCAGGTGGGAAAGGCGACCTTGGGAATTGCGGAATCCTCGCAGTACGCGCAACCAGGAGGCCGGATCACAAGCTGTGATGCTCAGCACTTGTGTGTGCACTGCGCCGATGCTCGCGAGTGCGGCTTTCTGATCGCTTCGTCGTGGAATCAAACGCAGCCATCTCGCCGCCGCCGGTACTAGCATGCAATCGGTACTACGCGCCCTGGGCCCTCACCCTTCACCCGCCGTTTCCCGTTTGCTGGCTCCGCGCGAATCTCAAGCTTCGCATCCGACGTTGAGGGTTTGTCGGCGAATTCTCCGCACAATCTCAGACCGTAGATTCTCCGAACGAATTCGCGCGAATTGCGAGGGTCGTCGTTTTTAGTTTTTGTCGGCGCAGGCACCCCCGAGATCTGTCATTCAAGCCAAGAAGATTCCCAATATCAGGCCTCGCCTCGCCTCGTCTCCGCTGTTCTGCTGCTGCCTACATCGCTCACGCTCCCCCCTCCTATGTCCCCCCTCCTCTCTAATCCTCCCCACTCCTATGTCCCGCCTCGTCTCTAATCCTCCCCCCTCCTATGTCCCCACTCCTCTCTAATCCCCCCCCCTCCTATGTCTCCCCCCTCTCTAATCCGCCTCCCTCCTTCCCTCCCAGGCTGAACTGCTCACGAGGCCGTGGATCGTCCACGTGGCAGCATCTACAAGCGCAGCCCTGTGCCACATCAGCACCCGCTCCTTCCATCTCCTCCAACCTGCTCTCCGGCCGTCCCCTCCCTCGGTTCGATCTCGGCCGTTGATTCTGTTCAGTTCCCATATCACGGCCTCTGCTAGTAGCACCAGAAACATTGGAAGCATGAGCATCAGCAGAGGCGTTGGCAGCAGCAGCGGCACAGCAGCAGCGGGTTTAGGAGGCCGGTTCTGCCGTCAGCAGTCGCCCACGTGCTCATCAGTATCGTTGCTAGAGGGCTTTCAAAGAAACCTTCGCTGCCAAGAGCACATGAGGGGGAGACAGCCGCTGGGGAGGTTTCAGGGGTTAGGGTTTACCAGGGTTCAGAGTGCAGGGTTTAGCAGGAGAGCTACCAATTGCATGGTAATCCCCCTAGCAGCGGCGCTAGGCCCAACAGGCAACCATCCTCTAGCGGCAGCTGGTACTGTTAAACCCTTGCTGACTCGCAAGCTGACCTCCTTCTCGTTCTCTAGCAGCTCACGCTCCCCCAAGGACTTAGATAGTAGGAGGGACTTGGATAGTAGGAGAGATGGACAGCAGGATGGGCAGCGGCAGGGGCAAGGGCAGGGGCAGGGGCAGCAGGGGCAGGTGCGGGTGCAGGCTGTAAGGGGAGGGCAGGGGTTGGGGGAGGATGCGCAGGGGGGTGGGGAGCAGAGGCAGGGGCAGAGGATGGCGGTTGTGAGTGCTGCTGGAAAGGGGAGGGAGGTGGGGGTGCGGAGGGAGGGGAGGAAGGAGTGGAGGTGGAGAGTGGGATTGAGAGTGGGCTGGAGAGCGGGCTTGAGAGCGGGCTGGAGAGCGGGCTGGAGAGCGGGAATGAGAGTGGAACCGAGAGTGGTAGTGAGGGAGGGAAGGGGAGAGGGCCAGGGAATGGGAACGGCAACGGAGCGGTGCTGGCAGCAGGAAAGGTGGTGGAGGTGGAGCTGCATGAGGAGGCGGTGCAGTCCTACGTGACGTACGCCATGTCCGTCATCGTGGGGCGCGCTCTGCCTGACGCCCGGGACGGCCTCAAGCCAGTGCACCGCCGCATACTGTGAGTGTCAATGTCAAGGGCAGTAGGGTACCATAGTTGGTGAAGGTGGTGGATGTGGAGCTGCATGAGGAGGCGGTGCAGTCGTACGCGGCGTACGCCATGTCTGTTATTGTGGGGCGCGCTCTCCCCGATGCAAGGGACGGACTCAAGCCAGTGCACCGCCGCATTCTGTGAGTCACGAGAGTCAATGCAACAAAGAGGTGCTGGCACCGGGCAGGGTGGTGCAGGTGGAGCTCCTTTTGAGTCGCCTCAAAGGTGCAGGTGGAGCTCCTTTTGAGTCGCCTCAAAGGTGCAGGTGGAGCTACCGGATGCCAGGGAGGGACGGGCTGAAAGAAGTGCACCGTCGCATTCCGTGAGTGGTAATGGGAGTGGGGTGGGACTGGTACGCTACCAACCCCGTCTCACCCATGCCGTTCCCACTTATTGCCACAGCCCCCCTTTGCCTCCCTACCAACCAACCAGCCCCAGTGACGCTCTCTTCTCATCTCAATCGCTCCCTCTCAGCCCGATCCCCCCTATCCTCCTCAACCCAACGATTTTTGAGGCGCCTCAACGAATTTGCACTGCTGCTCTTCCCAAGACCATGAGTGACCTCAATCGCTCCCTCTCAGCCTGATCCCCCCTATCCTCCTCAACCCAACCTACCCAGCTGTGCCATATGCACGAGCTGTGCCTGAGATCCCGAAACATCATTCGCGCATAACAACATCCCTTTCGCTCATCTTTCGCAACCCATCCCTTCTCTACTACCCCTCTCCCCGACCCCTTGCGCACCTGTCATGTTTGCCCACAGCTATGCCGTGCACGAGCTGGGCCTGGCAGTGTCATCCAAGCCTCCCTTCTCACCACTACCACTCTGGCCATTTCTCCCCCCCCCCCACCCACTCCCCCCCACCCCCCGCCCCCCCCCGCTCACCCTTGCCTACAGCTACGCCATGCAAGAGCTGGGGCTGGCGTCATTCAAGCCCCCCTTCTCACCACTACCACTCTGGTCATTCCGCACCCCTCCCCCTCCTGTCCCCCGTCCCCCCCCCCTTCCCCCCCGCTCACCCCTGCCCGCAGCTACGCCATGCATGAGCTGGGTCTGGCGTCGTCCAAGCCTTTCCGCAAGTCGGCTAGAGTTGTGGGAGAGGTGCGTTCACGACCCTGCCAGCCCCTTGCTTTGCTACTGCCGCCTCTGCCGCCTCTGCTGCCTCTGCCGCCTCTGCCGCCTTTGCCGCCTCTGCCGCCTCTGATGCCTCTGCTGTCTCTGCTGCCTCTGCCGCCTCTGCTGCCTCTGCTGTCTCTGCCGCCTCTGCCGCCTCTATTCCTTCCCCTCATTCCGCCTCTAGCCATTCAGCTCTTCTCGTCATAACACGTATCCCTCCCCCTCATTCCAGCCCTTTTTCTTCCCATCCTCGCATCGTGCAGGTTCTTTGAAGGTTCCATCCGCATGGAGACACCGCCGTCTATGACGCTCTCGTGCGCATGGCGCAGGGCTATTCCCTGCAAACTGAGCCTTGCTACCTCCTGTGTCTCCCTTCTCGTTCTGTGTTTGGCAGGTCCTAGGGCGCTTTCACCCACATGGAGACACCGCCGTCTATGACGCTCTCGTGCGCATGGCGCAGGACTTCTCCCTGCGCGCCCCGCTGGTGCACGGCCATGGCAACTTTGGGTCCGTGGATGCCGACCCCGCTGCTGCGATGCGATACACCGAGTGCAGACTGCAGGTGCGTCATTCAGCAGTCACGGATTGCGTTGCAGAGAATGCTCAGACTGCAGGTAACCTCTCTCTGCTGGTGCCTGCCTGAGCTCACTGGCGAACCACCCTCCGTGCACGGAGTCTATTGTTGAGGTACCTCAAAAACAGGTAACCTCTGTCTGCTGGTTGGCAGCTGCCTGAGAGAACACCACTTGGTGGTGGTTTTAGCCATACGTGGCAGCGGGCTTGTAGAACACTTTTTTTTTTGAGAAAAATTCTTGCTCAGAGAATTCTCTTGAAATCGTAGGGTAAAAATGATGGTAACTAGTTTCGGCAGGTGGCTGCCTTCATCAGACCATACACAAAGAGTAAACGAGCAAGACTAAATAGGCAGGAGCTCGCGAGTATCCCAAGGCCAAAATGCGGCTCGAGGGAATTCTCGGAGTCGAAACCTGGGCTAGAAAAATGGAATAAGTGTAGCTACACCTAACATTTTCTAGCTGAAACTAAAAAATCCCCTGTACGCTTCGGAAGCTTCCACGCGATAATAGCACGCCGATCTTCAAATGTCTCGTGTGACAATATCCGCAGGTGATTTTTGAGTCGACTCAAAAATCCCCTCCGTGCACGGAGTCTATTGTTGAGGTACCTCAAAAACAGGTAACCTCTGTCTGCTGGTTGGCAGCTGCCTGAGTTTGCTTTTGAGTTGACAGAAACGCGAACCACCCCTCTGTGCATGGAGTCTATTTTTGAGGCGCCTCAAAACAAGAACAGCCAACCTCCCTCTGCTGGTTAGCACGTGCCTGAGTTCACTGGAGAACCACCCCTCTGTGCACGGGCATGCCAACGTTGCTTCTCCCTTTTGCTTTTTCTCGTGTCCCTCACCCCTCGCTCCTCCCATCCTCCCCCTTTCCCCCTCACCAGCCTCTCACATGACCCAAGGGTGATTTTTTAGTCGACTCAAAATACACCATGACCCAAGGGTGATTTTTGAGTCGACTAAAAAATGATCCACCGCATGTCTCCTCCCCCAATTCCCCCCACTCTCCCCACTCTCCATGGCACTCCCCTCCCTTTCCACCCCTCCAGCCTCTCACGTGACCACCGCCTGTCTCCTCCCCCAACCACTCCCCCCATGATTGTGCAGGGTGTTTTTGAGAGCTCTCTCTCACCGTGCAACCCCACTCACCCTGCATTTGAGTCGACTCAAAAGCGAGCTCTCACCGTGCACCCCCAACCCCAAACACCCTGCACTCTCACATGACCCACCGCATGTCTCCTCCCCCAACTACCCCCCCACTCTCCCCACTCCCGCCATCGCTCCCTCCCTTTCCTCTCTCCAGCCTCTCACAGAGAAAATGCTCCTGGAAGACATCCGCAGTGACACGGTCAGTTGGGGGTTGAGGTTTAATCGGGGATTAAGGAGTTCTTCATTTAGATTGAGCAGCTGATTGGCCTAGTGGATCGCTTTTGAGTTGACTCAAAAGGTTACGGTCAATTGTCACTTATGTTCGATTTTAATCGAGCAAGTGAGCTAGTCAGCTGACTGGGCTAGTTAGCTGATTGGGCTAGTCAGCTGATTGGGCTAGTGGATGGATCTTCCGAGTCAAACATGTAAGGTAATCTTATGCCCATGGTCAAATCTGCTCAACCTGATTATGCACAGATCACTTCACAACTTATGACTAACGGCCTGAGTCCAATTGAACACCAAATAGGTGCCATTGTGTCAATACGTGGCAGCAACTTGTATTCTGCACAGATCACATCACAACACAACTTATGACTGACGGCCTGTCACAACTCGACACACGCCACGCTCAAGCCCTCATCACGTCTCATCACAACTTATCGCTTGCACATTGTGCATAATATGATATTCACAACCTCCCGTCACCTTGGGGGGTGAGGCGGCCTGCACTATCCCCCATTCGCCTCTGCCTCCCTGTTTTCCATTTCCCCCCCTTCCCTTACTCAGGTTGACTATGCTCCCAACTTTGACGCGTCAACCAACGAGCCGACGGTGCTTCCTGCCCGAGTCCCGGTGCTCCTACTCAACGGCTCTCAAGGCATTGCGGTACGTTTTTGTTTCTGCCTTTGAAGTCGTGGGTCCTCGTAAGCAACTTTGGCACGTCAACAGTCAACCAACGAGCCAACAGTGCTTCCTGCCCGGGTCCCGGTGCTCCTACTCAACGGCTCTCAGGGCATTGCGGTACGTTTTTGGGTATGCTTTTAGGGCGCCTCATAGGCTACTTTGACACATCAACCAACAAGCCGACAGTGCTTCCTGCCCGCCTCCCTGTGCTGCTCCTTAAAGCGAGGATCACGAAACCCCCTCCGACCAAAAACCGAAACCCTGGTCTCACAGCCAAAACGCCCCACAGATAAAAAACATAGCTTTCTAACTCGGGGGTTTCGGGATCCTCGCTTTAACGGATCTCAAGGGATTGTGATCGAAGGATGTTTGGGTTTCTTTTTGTCGAAGTGTTTACTTACCATCTCACGACTTTGAAATATATTTTCGCCCTTGCACGCGTCGATGCACTCATAACCCAGCGAGCATCGACTGGGTTGACAACTTGGCGCCTCGTGCTTCTCCCATGAAAGATATTTTCACCCTCCCCTTAGCTCACTTGCTCACTTGCTGACTAGCTCACTTGCTCCCCGTTCCTCTACTTACGTTCAGCAGCGTTCATTGACAACCCTGAATCCCCCCTTCCACATCCCCGCCTCCCCCCTCACTCCCCCTCACTCCCCCCTCACTCCCCCCTCACTCCCCCATCACCATCAGGTGGGCTGCGGGCATGGCCACCAACATCCCTTCCCACAGACTAAGAGAGCTGGTGGATGCGATCTCAGCTTTCATTGGCGACCCTGCCACCACCGCAGAAGATCTCACGCTGTCCCCTTGACTGCCTTTTCTCCTTTCCCTCCCTTTCCCTTCCCTCCTGTGCGTCCCCATCACCATCAGGTGGGTATGGCCACTAACATCCCTCCCCACAATCTATCGGAGCTGGTGGACGCCCTCTCAGCGTTCATTGACAACCCCTCAATCTCCACAGAAGACCTCATGCTGATCTGCCAGGGACCAGACTTCCCCACCGGAGGCGTCATTTTGGGCACTTCTGGGTAAGCATCAGAAGCTGAGAACGTGCCATCCTGCCATCTCCACTGAGGACCTCAATGCTCATCTGCTAGGGACCAGACTTCCCCACCGGCGGGGTCATTCTCGGCACTTCAGGGTAGGGCTGGCTGTGTGTTGATGCGAGGAACTAAGGTGCAAGAAGGTGGGCAGGTCCATGCATTGACAGCAATGCCATCGCCACCGAAGAGCTCATGCTCATCTGGACTTCCCCACCGGACGGAGTCATCCTTGGGACTTCAGGTTAGGGTAAGCTGTGTGTGAGGGACTCAGGTGCGAGAAGGTGGGCCCGTCCGTCCATTCACTGACAACAGTCCGTCCATTCACTGACAGCCTTTTGAGTCGACTCACTCAAAAGTCAAAAGCAGAAGGTGGGCCCGTCCGTCCATTCACTGACAACCCTGCCATCTCCCACTGAGGACCTCATGCTCATGTGCCAGGGACCGGTCATCCCCACCTCTCTCTTTCCCTCTCTCTTTCCCTCTCTCTTTCCCTCTCTCGTCCCCCCCCGCCCAGCATGGAGGAGGCGTATCGCACGGGGAGGGGGTGGATGGATAGTGGTGCGGGAGAGAGCCTATGTGGAAGAGCTGGGAGGAGGGAGGGGGCGCAGGGGATGACTCCAGAGGCTCGGGCGTCATCTCTTCATTCTCTCCTTTCTTCTCCTGGCCTTCCCGCCCTCGTTCTGGTCCCTTCCTCTCCCCCCCCCCCCCTCCCCTCCTGCTCCAAGCAGCATGGAGGAGGCGTACCGCACGGGAAGGGGGTCGATCGTGGTGCGGGGGAGGGCGTATGTGGAAGAGCTGGGAGGAGGGGGCGCAGGGAGCAGGGGCAACCGTCTGGGGATTGTGATTACCGAGGTGCGCATCAGTCAGTCGTGGTCGTTTTCACCATGTCGGTAGTCCCTTTTTGTCATGGGCTCCATGCCTCCTTCTTTTTGTCTTTTTGTCGTGGGCTCCTCTGGGGCTCCTTCCTTTGATCACTTGCCTGCAGCCGAATCTTTCTTCGTTCTCTCCCCTTGACAGGAGTCTAGTTTTGAGGCGCCTGACACTTTGGCACTTGATATATTCTCTTTGGCACAAAGCTTGTCCCCTTTGGCACTTGATATATTCTCTCCTGTCGCCGGCCGTCTCCCAACCCCTCTTCCCCCCCTCCTCCTCCTGCCCACAGCTGCCCTATCAGACAAACAAGGCCGCCCTTGTTGAGAAAAACAGCGAGCTGGTGAATGGCAAGGCGGTGGAGGGGGTGAGAGACATCCGCGACGAGAGCGACTGGTCGGGCTCCCCTAACAACCCACTTTTTCGTTCCTCTCTCTCTCTCTTCCCCCCCCCCTTCCTCCTCCCCTCTCCCCTCCCCCTCCCCCCTCCACCATCTCCACCCCACCCCCCCGAACCGCCTCACACAGTTGCCATACCAGACAAACAAGGCTGCTTTAGTCGAAAAAATCGCCGAGCTGGTGAACAGCAAGGTGGTGGAGGGGGTGAGTGACATCCGCGATGAGAGCGACCGGTCGGGCATGCGGGTGGTGGTGGAGGTCAAAAGGGGCGCCACCCCCATGGCTGTGCTCGCGTCCCTGTACAAGCACACGCAGCTGCAGACGAGATTCAACTGCAACCTCGTGGGGTGAGTGACGTCTGCAATGAGAGCGACCAGTCGGGCATGCGCGTGGTGGTGGAGGTGAAGCGTTTTGAGGCGCCTCAAAATGAGAGCGACCAGTCGGGCATGCGCGTGGTGGTGGAGGTGAAGCGGGGCGTCATCACCCCCATGGCTGTTTTTGTGTCGACTCAAAGGCGCCACCCCCATGACTGTGCTGGCCTCAAAGGCGCCACCCCCATGGCTGTGCTGGCCTCAAAGGCGCCACCCCCATGGCTGTTCTGGCCTCAAAGGCGCCACCCCCATGGCTGTGCTGGCCTCAAAGGCGCCACCCCCATGGCTGTGCTGGCCTCAAAGGCGCCACCCCCATGTAGACATGAGCAACGAGGCGAGGAATTCCTCGCCTCGGAATTCCTCGCCTCGGAATTCCTCGCCTCGGAATTCGGCTATTCGAGGATTCCAACTCGGCAAAATTCCTCGCCGAGGATTCCTCGCCTCGCCTCGCCGAGGAAACGAGGATTCGGATTTCCTCGGGTGCGGAATGGCGAGGAATTTCATTCCTCGCGGGGAATTTTTCCCTCGCGAGGAAAAATTCCTCGCGTCATTTTGTTCCAGCGCGCCTCGAAGCGCGCTGGTACAATCTAAAAAAATGTGGGTTGGCTGATCCATTTTTTCAGGATCAGCCAAGCCTAGCAGTTTCGTTTTGAGGTAGTGTAAAGCCTACCCAGGCTCCTATGAGCTAATGTTTGCCATTTCGTTAGCTTAAACTCAATTCATGGGGGGGGGTTGTTGACTTGGCGACACTAGGGATAGTGTTAGGGGGATTTGCTGAAGCAAAAAACAGCATTGGGAGGCAAATAGGTCTGTAGGGCGCAAGCACGCCTGTTCAACAGCCAGCAAGCTCCAGGCCCGGGAGGAATGGGGGGCCGCTCAACAAGTGGTGGAGGGAGGGGGAGGGGCCGCGGTGCTGCTGCCCGCGGCGGAGGGGAAGGGAGGGGTGGTAGAAAGGGAGAGGGGGAGGGGGATGACGGGGATCCGCGCCCACAGCAACGCAGCAGCGTCATTTAAAGCTTGCTGCCGCCGAGGCAGACCTTGAGAAAGCGCGAGAGGCCGCGCGTGATGGGGCTGGGAGGAAGGGTGGCGGCCTGATGTGTGCAGGGATAAGTGGCGCCAAACAGTGCGGGAAGGGGGTTGGTGACGCTCTGCGAATCTGCAACAATGGAGGGGAGGGGGAGGAAGAGAATGAGGAGGAGGGGGGGGAAGGGGGCGCGGAGGAGGAGGACGAGGCTGAGAAGGAGGAGGAGGAGGAGGAGGGGAGGAGGAGGAGGAGGAGGAGGGAGGAGGAGGAGGAGGAGGAGGAGGAGGAGGAGGAGGAGGAGGAGGAGGAGGAGGAGGAGGAGGAGGAGGAGGGAGGAGGAGGAGGAGGAGGAGGAGGAGGAGGAGGAGGGAGGAGGAGGAGGAGGAGGAGGAGGAGGAGGAGGAGGAGGAGGAGGAGGAGGAGGAGGAGGAGGAGGAGGAGGAGGAGGAGGAGGAGGAGGAGGAGGAGGAGGAGGAGGAGGAGGAGGAGGAGGAGGAGGAGGAGGAGGAGGAGGAGGGGAGGAGGAGGAGAGGAGGAGGAGGAGGAGGAGGAGGCGTATGACGTGCTTGCTGGTGGGGATGGTGATGGGGGGAGAGAGAGCATTAGCGGGGATGACAGCGAGGAAGAGGTGTACGAGGGGGCCGAAGGGGAACCGGAGGAGCGTGAGGAGGAGGATTTGGCCTACTTGGTGTCTGATGATGGAGGGGAGGGGGTGGGGATGAAGAGGAAGGAACTTTTGAGGGCCATAAAGATTGAGAAGGGTCAGGAAAGTGGTAAGAGGACAAAAGTGAATGCGGGGCAGAAAGCAATCGCCGCCAAGGCTAGTGGAGGGGGTGCCGGCAGGCGGGCGGGCACTATTGCTCGGGGTGGGGGGGCTGGCGGGCAGGAGAGTGCCCGCGCTAGGGGTGGGGGGGCTGGCGGGTGGGCGAGCGCCGCAGGGGAGGGGGTGGGCGGTGCGTGTACTGGCAAGCCAAAGTCGGGGAAGGCAGTCAAGGGCGATGGGATGGCAGCGAGATGCTTCGAGCGTCGCCTCGAGGCGAGGAATTTTTCCTCGGGGCGAGGAGAAAAATCCTCGCCCCCTAAACCCGAGGGTCGAGGAATTTTTTTCCCCAAAATTCCTCGGCGAGGAATCCTCGCCTCGCCTCGTGCTCATGTCTACCCCCATGGCTGTTCTGGCCTCAAAGGCGCCACCCCCATGGCTGTGCTGGCCTCAAAGGCGCCACCCCCATGGCTGTGCTGGCCTCAAAGGCGCCACCCCCATGGCTGTGCTGGCCTCAAAGGCGCCACCCCATGGCTGTGCTGGCCTCAAAGGCGCCACCCCCATGGCTGTGCTGGCCTCGCTGTACAAGCACACGCAGCTGCACACGTGGTTCAACTGCAACCTTGTGGGGTGAGTGGCATAGCATTGGTAGGTGGAGTGAGCGGCACTGTCAATGTGCGTGTCATGCTGTCAATGTGCGTGTCATGCTGTCAATGTGCGTGTCATGCTGTGAGTGGGCCTGAGTGACTTCTTTCAATCCCGTCCTCTCCCCCTCCCACTCTACTCCCCCCACCCCGCCCCTGCCCCCTCATTTCCCCTCTCCCCCTCTCCCCCTCTCCCCCTCAGGCGGGTCAATGGCGAGCCCAAGGGGATGACCCTCAGAGACTTCTTCCAGGCCCTTCCTCTCCCCCCATCTTCCCACTCTACTCCCCCCAACCCCCCATCCCTCCCCTTCCCGCCCCCTCGTTTCCCCTTTCCCCCTTTCCCCCTTTCCCCCTTTCCCCCTTTCCCCCTTTCCCCCTTTCCCCCTTTCCCCCTTCCCCTCCCCCTCAGGCTGGTCAATGGCGAGCCCAAGGAGATGACCCTCAGAGACTTCTTTCAGGTGAGAGAAGTCTTTAATCCTCCACGTGGTTACAACTTCAGGTTACAATAAAGAGAGCTGTGGGTAGATCAGAATATTTTTCAGTTCTCCCGCCCCTCTCCCTGATTTCACTGTATTTCTCACTCCCCTTCAATCCTTCTCTCACGCATGTGTCCAGGCCAGGGTGTCGATCAGAATAGCTTCTGTCGAGAGAATCATCCAGGGCGTTTTTTAGAATTCTCTCGACAGAAGGATTGGAAGAGGACACGTGCACGACAAGGATTGAAGTCAAGAGAATTCTAAAAAATTGCATCCTCGGCAGCTCCTCAACTCAGAACCCATCCACCTATCATTCGCTTGTGCTAATTTGCTTCTGCATCGACTCAAAAGAAGGGTTGTAGTCGAGAGAATTCTCAGAAACATCCTTGGCAGTCGTTGGATGAAAGTTGTGGGGCTCGACTCAGAAAGAACCCCTCCACCTATCATTCCGTGGGATGAAAGTTGTGTTTTGAGACCTCTCAAGAGCACGACTCTTGAGACATCTCAAAACGCACGCATGTCCTCGGCAGCTGCTCAACTCAGAAAGTCCCCCTCCGCTCTCCACCTATCATTCCCATTTCTCTCCTTACCTTTCTCATTTACCTCATTTACCTTAATAGTCCCATTCACCCCTTTCACTCCTTACCTTTCTCTCCTTACCTTTCTCTCCTTACCTTTCTCTCCTTACCTTTCTCTCCTTACCTTTCTCTCCTTACCTTTCTCTCCTTACCTTTCTCTCCTTACCTTTCTCTCCTTACCTTTCTCTCCTTACCTTTCTCTCCTTACCTTTCTCTCCTTACCTTTCTCTCCTTACCTTTCTCTCCTTACCTTTCTCTCCTTACCTTTCTCTCCTTACCTTTCTCTCCTTACCTTTCTCCTTACCTTTCTCTCCTTACCTTTCTCTCCTTACCTTTCTCTCCTTACCTTTCTCTCCTTACCTTTCTCTCCTTACCTCTTTTCTCTCCTTACCTTTCTCTCCTTACCTTTCTCTCCTTACCTTTCTCTCCTTACCTTTCTCTCCTTACCTTTCACTCCTTACCTTTCTCTCCTTACCTTTCTCTCCTTACCTTTCTCTCCTTACCTTTCTCTCCTTACCTTTCTCTCCTTACCTTTCTCTCCTTACCTTTCTCTCCTTACCTTTCTCTCCTTACCTTTCTCTCCTTACCTTTCTCTCCTTACCTTTCTCTCCTTACCTTTCTCTCCTTACCTTTCACTCCTTACCTTTCACTCCTTACCTTTCTCTTCCTTACCTTTCTCTCCTTACCTTTCTCTCCTTACCTTTCTCTCCTTACCTTTCTCTCCTTACCTTTCTCTCCTTACCTTTCTCTCCTTACCTTTCTCTCCTTACCTTTCTCCCCTTTTTCTCACCCTCCTTTTTCTCCCCCTCCCCCCCGTCCCCACGACCAATCAGGTCTTCCTTGACTTCCGCTGCCAGGTCATCGAGCGCCGAACCACATTCCAGCTTCGGAAGGCGGAGGACCGGGACCACTATGTACAGGTACGGTTCTTCATCCTGCCCGTCTTTCTCTTGTTTTCTTCTCCTTTTCCGCATCCCTCTCATCACCTTTCTCCCACCTTTCCCCACATCTCCACCCTTTGATTACCCAATTACCCCCAGGGCCTGCTGATTGGTCTAGGCAGCTTGGCTTGGATCATCCGGTGCACATTCTCAAATCACCACTTCCCCACCCTATCATCTCTTCTCTCCCAACCCCCCCCCTTCCCCCCTCCTTCCCCCCCTTTCCTTCCCCCCTCACGTCCGCACGCACACCCCCCAGGGCCTGCTGATTGGTCTGGGCAGCTTGGATCGTCTGGTGGTCATCCTCAAGGCAGCACCTCCCCACTCCTCTTCCCCCTCCCCGCTCCTCTTCCCCCTCCCCACTCTCTTCCCCCTCCCCGCTCCTCTTCCCCCTCCCAACTCCTCTTCCCCCTTCCCGCTCCTCTTCCCCCTCCCCGCTCCTCTTCTCCCTCCCCACTCCTCTTCCCCCTCCCCACTCCTCTTCCCCCTCCCCACTCCTCTTCCCCCTGCCCACTCCTCTTCCCCCTCCCCGCTCCTCTTCCCCCTCCCCACTCCTCTTCCCCCTCCCCACTCCTCTTTCCCCTCCCCCCCTCTCCTTGGCACACACACCCCCCAGGGCCTGCTGATTGGTCTAGGGAGCTTGGATCGCCTGGTGGACATCCTTAAGGCGGCTGCCACTCCGGCTGATGCTGCTGAAACCCTTAAGCAAGGTGTGTAGGGACCCAAAAAGGTGTATGATTATGTGTTTGTTTAATATATATGTATAGATATGTGTGTATATACGTACATATATGTGTAGACATTCACTGCTGGGCCTGATGAAGGCTTCTGGACAACTGGCAATCCTCTCCCACATGTGTGTGTGTGTGTGTGTGTTGTGTGTGTGTGTGTGTGGTGTGTGTGGGTGTGTGCGTGGCGTGGGTGGGTGCGTGCGTGCATTGCGTGCGTGCGCGCGCGCGCGTGTGTGTGAGTGTGTGTGTGTGTGACTGTGTGTGTGTGTGTGTGAGTGTGTGCGTGTGTGAGTGTGTGTGTGTGTGAGAGTGTGTGTGTGTGTGTGAGTGTGTGTGTGTGTGTGCGGGTGTGTGTGTGAGTGTGTGTGTGTGTGAGTGAGTGTGTGAGTGTGTGTGTGTGTGAGTGTGTGTGTGAGTGTGTGTGTGTGTGTGAGTGTGTGTGAGAGTGTGTGTGTGTGTGTGTGAGAGTGTGTGTGTGTGTTTGTGTGTATGCTCGTGCGCGCATGAACGCATGCCAGCCCTTGGTTTATCCCCTATACAGGCTGATGCTCTTCTCAGCACACCACTCCGGCGCCTCACATCTCTTGAAGTGAGTCATTACACCGCGCATTGCATTGCATTGCATTGCATTGCATTGCATTGCATTGCATTGCATTGCATTGCATTGCATTGCATTGCATTGCATTGCATTGCATTGCATTGCATTGCATTGCATTGCATTGCATTGCATTGCATTGATTGCATTGCATTGCATTGCATTGCATTTGCATTGCATTGCATTGCATTGCATTGCATTGCATTTGCATTGCATTGCATTGCATTGCATTGCATTGCATTGGCAACTTGCATTGCATTCTGCATTGCATTGGCATTGCATTGCATTGCATTGCATGGCATTGCATTGCATTGCATTGCATTGCATTGCATTGCATTGCCATTGCATTGCATGCATTGCATTGCATTGCATTGCATTGATTGCATTGCATGCATTGCATTGCATTGCATTGCATTGCATTTGCATTGCATTGCATTGCATTGCATTGCATTGCATTGCATTGCATTGCATGCATTGCATTGCATTGCATTGCATTGCATTGCATTGCATTGCATTGCATTGCATTGCATTGCATTGCATTGCATTGCATTGCATTGCATTGCATTGCATTGCATTGCATTGCATTGCATTGCATTGCATTGCATTGCATTGCATTGCATTGCATTGCATTGCATTGCATTGCATTGCATTGGCATTGCATTGCATTGCATTCATTGCATTGCATTGCATTGCATTGCATTGCATTGCATTGCATTGCATTGCATTGCATTGCATTGCATTGCATTGCATTGCATTGCATTGCATTGCATTGCATTGCATTGCATTGCATTGCATTGCATTGCATTGCATTGCATTGCATTGCATTGCATTGCATTGTTGCATTGCATTGCATTGCATTGCATTGCATTGCATTGCATTTGCATTGCATTGCATTGCATTGGCATTGCATTGCATTGCATTTGCATTGCATTGCATTGCATTCACGACTTCCACGACTTTCCTCAGCCGTGTCACTGGCATTGCATTGCATGCCTGGCCACAGGAGTCTATTTTTGAGGTGCCTCAAAAACTGAGGAGGTCTATTTTTGAGGTGCCTCAAAAGTGAGGAGTCTATTTTTGAGGTGCCTCAAAAACTGAGGAGTCTATTTTTGAGGTGCCTCAAAACTGAGGAGTCTATTTTTGAGGTGCCTCAAAAGTGAGGAGTCTATTTTTGAGGTGCCTCAAAACTGAGGAGTCTATTTTTGAGGTGCCTCAAAAGTGAGGAGTCTATTTTTGAGGTGCCTCAAAAAGTGAGGAGTCTATTTTTGAGGTGCCTCAAAACTGAGGAGTCTATTTTTTGAGTGCCTCAAAAGTGAGGGAGTCTATTTTTGAGGTGCCTCAAAAGTGAGGAGTCTATTTTTGAGGTGCCTCAAAACTTGAGGAGTCTATTTTTGAGGTGCCTCAAAAGTGAGGAGTCTATTTTTGAGGTGCCTCAAAAGTGAGGAGTCTATTTTTGAGGTGCCTCAAAACTGAGGAGTCTATTTTTGAGGTGCCTCAAAACTGAGGAGTCTATTTTTGAGGTGCCTCAAAAGTGAGGAGTCTATTTTTGAGGTGCCTCAAAACTGAGGAGTCTATTTTTGAGGTGCCTCAAAACTGAGGAGTCTATTTTTGAGGTGCCTCAAAAGTGAGGAGTCTATTTTTGAGGTGCCTCAAAAGTGAGGAGTCTATTTTTTAGGTGCCTAAAAAATGGACACCATGACTTTCCTCAGCCGTGTCACTTGCATAATGCAATGTGTGTTTTGAAACCAAAGCTTTTCCCCCCCCACTCATCCCTACCTTCCTCCCTTCCCCACTTCATCCCTCCCTAGGATAACCCCGCCCCAGCTCTTCCCTGCCCATTCATCCTTTTTTATTTCCCTATTCCCCTTTCTCCATTCCCACTCACCCCCTCCCCTTCCCTTCACCCCCTCTCCCAAACCCAGGTGTCCAAGATCGCGGAGGAGCATGCGCGCTTGAATGCGGGTATTGCGGATCGGCTGGACCTGCTAGCCAGCAGAAGGAGGGTTCTGCAGACGGCAAAGCCCCCCCCCCCCCCCCCCCCCACACCACCCCTTCCTCCCATCCTCAAACCCAGGTGTCCAAGCTCGAGGAGGAGCACGCTCGTCTAAAGGGCGACATTGCGGATCTGCAGGACCTGCTGGCGAGCAGAAAGAGGGTTCTGCAGACGGTGAAACGGGAGGCGATGGCTCTGAAGGAGGAGTTTGGCGGGCCGAGGAGGACCAGGATCGAGGCGGACGGCTCTGCTGCCGACCTGGATCCGGTCTGACGTCATTCCCAATGGCACTGTGCTGCTGGTACGTGCTGCTGGTACGTGCTGCTGGTACGTGCGGCTTGTATGCTGTATGCTGAGTTCCCTCTTCGCCCTGCCGGCCCATTTGTTGTTCAGAACCAGAGCGAGCGTGGGAGCATGAAGCGCATGGCAGCAGGCACCTTTTCAGCGCACTAGAGAGGCACAGCGGGCAAGCTGGGAGGCAAGCTGAAGGTGCTTGCTGTGACTCCCCCCTTCCCCTTCCCTCAATTTTCTGATGAGAGCCTAAGCAAGCGAGGGTACGTGAAGCGCATGGGAGCGGACACCTTACCAGTGCAGAAGCCCGGGACAGCGGGCAAGACAGGAGGCAAGCTGAAGGGGTCTTGCTACGACTCAAATCACGTACCCTCCTTTCCCTTGACCCCAATTCGTTGATTTTGCAGGGTGTTTTGAGAATTCTCAAAAACGTCTTGCTACGACTCAAATCACGTTCCCTCCCTTCCCTTCACCCCAATTCGTTGCGCAGAACCTGAGCGAGCGCGGGTACGTGAAGCGCATGTCACTTTCCCCACCTGCCGTCCCCCACATTCACTCCTTCCCTCCCCATTCCCCGCTCTCCCTCCCCTGCCCCCCCTTGTTGTCCCATCCAGAACCTGAGCGAGCGCGGGTACGTGAAGCGCATGTCACTTTCCCCACTGCCGTCCCCCACATTCACTCCTTCCCTCCCCATTCCCCGCTCTCCCTCCCCTGCCCCCCCTTGTTGTCCCATGAAGAACCTGAGCGAGCGCGGGTACGTGAAGCGCATGTCACTTTCCCCACCTGCCCTCCCCTACATTCACTCCTTCCCTCCCCATTCCCCGCTCTCCCTCCCCTGCCCCCCCTTGTTGTCCCATCCAGAACCTGAGCGAGCGCGGGTACGTGAAGCGCATGTCACTTTCCCCACCTGCCGTCCCCCACATTCACTCCTTCCCTCCCCATTCCCCGCTCTCCCTCCCCTGCCCCCCCGTGTTGTCCCATCCAGAACCTGAGCGAGCGCGGGTACGTGAAGCGCATGGCAGCGGACACCTTTTCAGCGCAGAAGAGAGGCACTGCGGGGAAGTCGGGCGGGAAGCTGAAGGCCGATGATGCCATGGCGCGATTCGTGGTGTGCCGCACCCACGACACCGTGCTCTTCTTCAGGTGGACTGCTCGTCTTCAGGTGGACTGCTCGTCTTCAGGTGGACTGCTCGTCTTCAGGTGGACTGCTCGTCTTCAGGTGGACTGCTCGTCTTCAGGTGGACTGCTCGTCTTCAGGTGGACTGCTCGTCTTCAGGTGGACTGTTCGTCTTCCTGCAGCGCCTCAAAAGTCTTCCTGAGACTGCTCGTCTTAGGTGTGGGGGTCCTTTTGAGGCGCCTCAAAAGTCTTCCTGAGACTGCTCGTCTTAGGTGTGGGGGTCCTTTTGAGGAGCCTCAAAAGTCTTCCTGAGACTGCTCGTCTTAGGTGTGGGGGTCCTTTTGAGGCGCCTCAAAAGTCTTCCTGAGACTGCTCGTCTTAGGTCTTCCTCAAAGGTCTTTCTGCCGCACTAATGATACTCTGTTCTCTTCTTTTCCGCTTTTGAGTCCACTCAAAAGCGATGCGCTGTCTGCCGCACTAATGTACTCTGTTCTCTTCTTTTCCGGTGGGGCTAGGTTTAGGCGTGGGATGTCCATGTCTCCTTCTCTGTCGCCCTGTCTCTCTGTCTCCCTGTCTCTCTGTCTCTCTGTCGCCCTGTCTCTCTGTCTCTTTGTCTCTCTGTCATTCTGTCAGTGGCTGCCTCTCTGTCTATCTGTGAGTCTGGGGTTTGTCTGTCGGTGTCTCTGTCTGGGTGTCCCTGGCGGATTTTTGAGTCGACTCAAAAATCGACTCATTATACAACAGCTTTTTTTTGTGTAACTCAACAAGCTGAAGGCGGATGATGCCAGGGACACGTCTGGGTGTCCCTGGCGGAAGTCTGGCAGCAAGCTGAAGGTGGATGATGCCATGGCAGGATTTCTGGTTTGCCTTGCCGCACTCATGCCACCAAGCTCATCTTCACGTGCTATTCGTTTTTCTTTCTTTCTTTTCTTTTTTGTGATTTCCTAAACAGTGTTGTTATTCAGCTTTTATGCTATAATGAATGAAGGTACTTGATTACACTCGCGTCATGATCTTGTCACAGATTTTGCTGAAGATAGCTCTATTTTCCTGTCTTTCCGTGGTCTTTACGTGACAATACCAAGGGTGGTGCAGCCTACAACATGGAATGTTCCCCCCCCCCTTCACCAATGTTGTGTTTTCTATTGTCGCTTTCTGTGTCTCAATGTCTACAGTGACCAAATCCCGCGGTCAATGTTGTGCCTGGGAGATGGGAGAGCCAATGGCAGTGCGGGAGCCAAAAGGCTTTTTCCCCCCCTCCAATGTTGTGTTTTCTATTGTCGCATTCTGTGTCTCCATGTCTACAGTGACCGCGGAGTGGCTTACACCATGAAAGGGTACCAAATCCCGGAGGGCTCCCGCACTGCCATTGGCTCTCCGATCTCCAGGCACGTCGCCAACTCGCCCTGCCATCGTTTGTGCAGTCCAGGTGTATTTTGAGTCGACTCAAAATATACTCGCCCTGCCATCGTTTGTGCAGTCCAGGTGTATTTTGAGTCGACTCAAGATATACTCGCCCTGCCATCGTTTGTCTTCCTATCTCCCATTCTTACTCGAGAAGTCATAACTTCTTTCTTTCTTTCTTTCTTTCTTTCTTTTTTAACCTTGGATTCTATATACTTAGGAACGGTCCTACCATTCCCCACCATTTCTTCCTCCCCTTACCATCTCCCCATCCCCTCCCCTCCCCCCCCCCCCTCCTCGTCTCCATGCATCAGATCGTTCCTCTGCAAGACTCGGAGTGAATCACGTCGACGCTGACGCCTATCTGGCCATGCTGACTCCTCTCTCTGCCTCCCTCCCCCCCATCCCTCCGTCCTCCATCCCTCCACCCCCCCGTCCTCCCCCCCCCTTCCCAGCATCAGATCGTTCCTCTGCAAGACTCAGAGCGCATCACATCAATGCTGCCGGTAGGAAACTTCTCAGAAGACACCTGTCTGGTCATTTTGACTTCTTCCCCCCTTCTCTCCCTTTCCCCCCATCTCGCCTTTCCGCCCATCCCCCCTTCCCCCCCCATCCCCCCTATTCCGCCAACCCCCTCCCACCTGACCACCAGATCGTTCCGCTGCAAGACTCAGAGCGCATCACATCAATGCTGCCGGTGGGCAACTTCTCAGAAGAAGCCTACCTGGTGATGATGACTCGAGGGGGGTTCATCAAGCGCACTGCTCTGCATGCTTTCAGCGACACACGGAAGAGCGGGCTCATCGCCATTCAGCTGGTGGGTCTACTTGTGTGCGCGTGTTTGTGTCTGTGTCTGTGTCTGTGGGTCACGTGGACGTCAGCAAGTGCACTGTGCTGCATGCCTTTAGCGACACAAGGAAGAGTGGGCTCATTGCCATTCAGCTGGTATGCCCCTCCAGCCCACTGCACTTTGCTGCGCTGCACTGCACCGCATCGCTTTGAACCCTTCAGTACCGCCTTCTCCTCGTTTCCCTCTCCCATTCTCATTGCACCGCATTCAACTCCTTTCTGCCCTTTCCCCATCCCCATGGCTTGCACCCTGTGTGCGGCAGGGAGAGGGCGATGAGCTGGCATGGGTGCGGAGAGCGACAGCTGGCGACTCGCTATTGGTCGGCTCGCAGTCCGGCAATATCGTTCGATTCGCGTGCGATGACGACCAGGTGGGTGTCGTTCCCTTCCTTCATCAGTGAGGGTGCTGTGCTGGTGGGAGTCCATATCTTTCTGGGTGGTCGGCAGTGAGGGTGGGTTGGTTTTTTAGGATTCTCAGAAGTGTTTTGAGTCAACTCAAAACACACCTGAATTCTCAGAACCCGACTTTAGATGATGACCAGGTCATCGTCAGTTGGGTGCAGTTGGGTTCTCAGAATGGTCTCTTTTCCATTCTTCGTCAGCGAGGGTGCAGTGCAGGTGTTCGTCCTCCCCCTTCCCCCCACCTCTTTCTCTCCACCCACCCACCCCCCCCCCCCCCCCCAAAATAATATGCGGTTATCATATTTGACGATTGCCTCCCAAGAGTGCGATCATCTAGTTTTGAGGCGCCTCAAAACAAGCGTGCGATCATCTTTGTTAGCCAGCGCGTCCTCAGGGTGAGAGAGTACAGACGCTGTTCTTAGAATTCGGAATAATATGCCTCCCGCAATGCCTAGGCGACTTTTGAGTTGAGGTGACTTTTGGGTTGACTCAAAGTCATCTTTGTTAGCCAGCGCGTTCTGGGGGCGAGAGAGCACACAAGCCGTTCTTAGAATTCTGAACAATATGCCTCACACGATGCCTCGCCCTCAGCTCAGAGTGTGATATGAGTTTCGTTTTGAGTCTTCTCACAGCGAAAATCATATCACACTGTCCTTCGAATTCTGGATAATATTGTTCACACGATGCTTCGCCCTCAGAGTGGCCGGGCAGTGAGGACAGTGAGAGACATGCGGCTTTGATTCCCCATGCCATATATTCCTCTGCCCTCAACCACCCCCACCCTTCCCACCCCACCCCTCTACCAGCTACGCCAGAGTGGTAGGATAGTGAGGGGAGTGAGGGCCATGCGGCTGAGGTGCTCCATGTCCTATACCCCGTAACACTCCCCCTTCCCCTCCACACCACCCGTTCCCCCCATCCCCCCCTAACCAGCTGCGCCAGAGCGGCATTACAGCACAAGGAGTGAGGGCCATGCAGCTGAGGTGCCCCTTTACCCATAGTCCTACCCCACCCCCCCCCCCTTCCCCCAAAACCAGCTGCGCCAGAGCGGCAGGACCGGAGGGGAGTGAGGGCTTGCAGCTGAGGTGTTCCATACCCCACACCCCATAACTGTCCCCCCCTCCCCCCCCACACACCACCCGTCCCCCCTGTTCCCCCAACCAGCTGCGCCAGAGTGGGCGGACAGCGAGGGGAGTGAGGGCCATGCGGCTGAGGGAGGGGGACACTGTAGCGGCTCTGGAGATCGTGCCAGGTGTCGCGTCGTGAGTGGCTCCTTACTTGGACTTGCCTAGCTGGTTTGGTTTCTGCGAGTTCTCAGAATTTGCTTGCCTTCCTCATTGTGAGAACAAGCAAGGCAAGGGCTACTCATGTTTCTTGGCCTGGCTACGAGTTCGCTTGGCTACGATTTCGCTTGGCTACGAGTTCGCTTGGCTACGAGTTCGTTTGGCCACGAGTTCGCTTGGCTATGAGTTCGCTTGGCCAGGTTATGTTCCCTGTGTAGCTGGTGTGGTCTATTCGCTGCCTTTGCAGGGTGTTTTTGAGAATTCTCAAGAACTGGTGTAGCTGTCCTGTGTAGCTGGTGTGTTGCAGATTATGTTCCCTTGCGGAATTCGCAAAACACCCTGCAGTTCGCTAGGCCAGATTATGTTCCGTGCGTAGCTGGTGTGGTCTATTCGCTGCCCTTGGCTTGCTTGCTCATTCGCTTTCCTTGCTGTCTTCCCTTAATTGCTTAACTATGTTGCTTCCGTTCGTTTTCCCCTTCCCTATCCTGCTCTTATGAGTTGTTTGACTTGCTTGGAATCTGGGCGGGCAGTGGTGGCGATGCATGTACCCAGCCACGCGCGATGGTCTGCTTTTGAGTCGACTCAAAAGCAGAATCTGAGCGGGCTGTGGGTGGTGGTGATGCATGGACCACCCAGCCACGCGCGATGGGCTGGGTAAATAATTAATTGGGGTCATGGCACTCCAGAAAATCCCTTCGGCATGCTTAAGAAAATCCCTCCAGAAAGTCCTTTCCTAGCAGGGAATCAAAGGACAGCAGGCCGCGGGTGGTGATGGATGGGGACATGCCATGGACGCCGACTTTTGAGGGACGTGATGGACTCAAAAGTCTGATTGATGGGGGACACGCCATGGGACGCCGACTTTTGAGGGACGCGATGGACTCAAAAGTCTGATTGATGGGGACACGCGATGGACGCCTCACGCTCTTTGGACTGGACCCTGCCTTCCCTTCCCTGCACCAAGACACGGACTCCTTGTGACTCTCAGGGAGTCAAAGGACACCCTCATGTCAACGGACACCGGGCCCATGGGTGGTGCTGGCCCCAATCGCATATGGAACAGTCAAGCGCAGTCCAACATCCCCCCCCTGTTGCAAACCCCTGCTCTGCTGCCCTGCCGTGTCTTCTATGCTGTACCTCTCGTACTCGCAGGGAGTCCAAGGACGGCGGGCCGTGGGTGGTGATGGCCACTCGCAATGGGGCTGGGCAAGCGCGTGCCAACGACCTTGTTTGCCAACCAGAAGAGGGGAGGGGTGGGGGTGAAGGGCATCAAGGTACGAGAAGGGGCAGTGAGGGGAGCAAGGTGAGTGTTTAATAAGGTCAAGGTGACTGTATGAGGGCAAGGGTGACCATATGAGGACAAGGTGACTACATGGGGCAAGGTCATATTGGGGCAAGGTGTCCATATGGGCTTCAAGCATGTGTGTGGGGTCGAAAATTTTGACTGGAATTCAAAGAATGCCTCCGGACATTATTCCAGTGAGCGCAGTTAGGAAGACGGTTGAGTAAGTGGACTCCTCACGGGGGTCGAAGGTGTGTCTCGAATTCAAAGGATGCATATGAAACAACCATGCGTGAGGGGTCTATTTTTGAGGTGCCTCAAAGGATGCTTGTGAAAGAACCATGCGTGAGGAGTCTATTTTTGAGGCGCCTCAAAGGGTGCCTGCGAAAGAACCATGCGTGAGGAGTCTATTTTTTAGGCGCCTCAAAGGATGCCTGTAAAAGAAACATGCGCGACGGGTATATTTTTTAGCCGCCTCAAAGAATGCCTGTGAAAGAACCATGCGTGAGGAGTCTATTTTTGAGGCGCCTCAATGGATGCCTATGAAAGAACCATGCGTGAGGAGTCTATTTTTGAAGGGCCACAAAGGATGCCTGTGAAAGAACCATGCGTGAGGAGTCTATTTTTTAGGCGCCTCAAAGGATGCCTGTGAAAGGACCATTCATGAGGAGTCTATTTTTTAGGCGCCTCAAAGGATGCCTGTGAAAGAACCATGTATGAGGGGTCTATTTTTTAGGCACCTCAAAGGATGCCTGTGAAAGAACCATGCGTGGGGGGTCTATTTTCGAGGCGCCCCAAAGGATGCCTGCGAAAAGAACCATGCGTGAGGAGTCTACTTTTGAGGCGCCTCAAAGGATGCCTGTGAAAGAACCATGCGCGAGGAGTCTATTTTTGAGGCGCCTCAAAAGGATGCCTGTGAAAGAACCATGCGCGAGGAGTCTATTTTTTAGGCGCCTCAAAGGATGCCTGTGAACGATGTTAGAAACTGAGAACTTGATTCATGGAATGAGCAAGAGCATACATCCTTAGGTGCTGAGCATCGGAGAGGATGGGAAGGGATGAGGGAAAATCGGAGGGAATCCCAAAGGAACCCTCCCAAATCGTGGGGATTTGGGATGGATTGGGTTGGGATAGGTTGGGGATGAAAGCAAGGCTACACCCAATCTAACATATATGTCTAACCCTAAAACCAACAAATTACTAGCACACAAAGTTGTGCCAACCGAATTGCAGCCTATCTCCAACACACCCCCTCTGCTGCAACGTCGGAAGCTGTAGGGACGCCAAGCCCCATGGTACGGAGGAGACGATAGTGATCACGTCGTCCAACAGCCTTGGTAAACAAGTCGCGAGGTTGCAATCAGAGGAGATGTGCTTGACGCAGAACTGCCCTCGCTGGGCGAGCTCGCGCATGAAGTAGTGTCTAAGTTCGATATGCTTGGTCCGTTGGTGGAAGACATGGTCTTTGGTAAGGTGTATGGTGCTCTCATTGTCACACCACCGAGTAATACCCGAGCCCAGCCATGAGGTAGGTATGTCATCGAGCTTCTTGGGCTGCCATGGTGCCTGCATGTAGCTCAGCTTCGCAGGATGACAATGAGACAGATGATGAGCGTGTGGATCGCCAGCTGATGACCCCACTGCCAAGGGTGAAGCAATAGCCTTTGGAAGCGCGGCGGTCAGCTTGATCATCAGCCCATGAGGAGTCGCTGTATCCCTTGAGGTGTGGAGAGGTCGTGCCATCGAGAGTCCTTGGTGGCTTGGAGGTAGCGAAGGACGCGCTTAGCAGCCGACCTGTGGCGATTGGTGTATCGACCGGCAGCAACGTAATGCGAGAGCACACTGATGGGGTAGGCGAGGTCGGGCCTTGTGCACATCATCGCATACATGAGTGATCCGACGAGCTCGGGATATGCCTCATCGCAAGGCTCAGGTGATGGAACTGATGGAGCGGTCAGATCATGCTGTAGGGAAAGGGGTGTTGCCACTGGCTTGGCGTTGTCCATGGCAAAACGCTTGAGGACGTTGTTCACATAGAACTCTGGTGAGAGAGTGATGATTCGAGCTTCGCGATCCCGTGAGATTTCCATCCCAAGGTAGTTCTTGAGTTCGCCGAGACCCTTCATGGCGAGAGCGTCCCAAGAGCTTGCTTGACAGCTGCCAGCTGATTGGAGTCCTTGAGACGAGAATCATATCATGGACGTGGAAGAGAATGAAGAACGGGTTCTCGTTCTTGCGAATGAAGAGACTCGAGGGTTGCCTTCAACTTCTTGTGCCATTCCCGAGGAGCCTGCTTCAACCCGTAGACGGGTCGATTTAGCTTCAAGACCGTGCTGGGTAGAAAGGGCAAGGAAAATCCTTGAGGACGTTCCATGTAGATGTCCTCGAAGTGATCCCCTTGGAGAAATGCAGCAGAAACGTCCATGGAGTGAACGTCATAGTTGCATCGAGCAGCAATGTCGAGCAGGGTCCGAAGTGTGGGGAGTTTGGCCATCGGAGAGGACGTGTCGAAGAAGTCCATACCATTTTTCTGCGTGAAGCCTTTGCACAGTATCGTGCCTTGAAAGACTGTGAGTTCGCCAGGCAGTTGCTTGACGCGAAAACCCATTTGCCACGGACGGTGTTGACTCATCGCAGGGGAGAGACGTTCGTGAAAGAGTTGTTACGAATGAATGCTTCACACTCCGCGATCATGGTTGCGAGCCACTGAGGGGAGTGTGGTCCAGAGATGGCTTCATCGTACAAGTTCGGGGTCGGGATGGATGGATTTTCGGAGAAGTTGAGAGTTGGAGCGTCGGCAAGTTCGGGGAAGGGATAGCAGAGCTGACGGATGGCAGCATTGATCTCAATCAGCTCTTCATGGCCTATCCTCCAAGAGGTCAGGCATGGATGCACCCCTGGCAGGAGGAGGCAGATTGAGGGAGATGCGAACAGAGAGGGCGAGAGGCGGAGTGGACCATGAGAGTGGTTGCGGTGAGCAACAGGGACAGGAGAGGAGGGAGGAGGCAGGGGAGGAGGTGGAACGTCGACATGAGAGCGTCCTTAGCGGCGGCGACGATAGGTGACAGGGGAACCAGTCACAACTATAGGCACAGATCATCTGTAGCCGCCGCCGGCGGTGACGATAGGTGGCACAAGTTCTTGATCTGTGCCAGGGGCACCCAACTATTTTCGAAGGTCATCCAGTCCTTCAGGGATATCAGAAACTCGATCAGGCGAGCCCCTCGAGGGTCCTGGATCCGATGGTGAGAATCTTCGCAGGTTCGACAGTAGGTTTGGATGTCCGGGTTGGCCCGATTGTCACAGGATCGAATGTCCCGAGGAAAGGTTTGCTCAATGTTGCACTATCAATCAGTACAAGTGCTTTTATACTTCCAGAATACATCAGGTAACCAGGTTTATCCTATCCAAAGGGAATAACCCTTCTAGAAATAGAATCACCATGCGTATAGCCACGCGAGGCTATTGGCTTTAAGGGATTACGGCAGGATTACGCTAGATATAGCGCGCCAGTACATCCCGAGCCTGGTCGGTGATATAATTATAATAACAGGATAACCAAAGGATAATGGAAAGGAGGAATAGGAAACCAAATGAGATGGGGTAAAGATCAAATGAATCCGGATAAAAAGAGGAATGAAATAGAAAGGAAATATGGAAAGGGGAAAATAGTGTAACAGGGTCGTACTCTCACACCGATGATGTGGTATTTTACTGATGCTGGCAAGTATGGTCATAATAGACGCACGTAAAATGATGGTCTGACGTTCCAAGTGGCAGGTAGCAGTAGATGGGCTGTAATGGAAGATATTATGTGGCTGATTGTAAATGGTCCGCAGTAGTGAGGACGAAGTTTTGGGACGATGGGCAGTCGAAGGTTCTAAGTGTCGAGCAGTACTAAGTCTCTAGCCTGGTAAGTTACAGCTCGTCGTTGTAGATCAGCGTTACGCTTAGAAACAACGTTCGCGCGCTTAATAGCTTTTGCTGCTCGCTCTCGGCGTTCAGTAAAATTTCAGCGAACTGTTGGGCTCGGGGTACGGGATTGTCGACATTTGACGTGATGGGTACTGTAGGGTTTTGTCCGTGATTTAGGTAGAGCAGTGACTGTCAGGAAGTGGTTGACGGGGCGTTGTTATACGCGAAATCAATCAGGGGCAGTTTGCTTCTCCCCAGTCGCCACGTCATCGCAGGTGGCGCGAATCAGCTGTCGTGGGCTTCGGTGCAATAATAGCTCCCGTAATAGACTAACTCTAGTTCCCAGATGCAGCCAGTCCCCCGTCTTTACATAATGACTCCCTTAACCGATGCAAGCTATTCGTACGCACCGATGTAAGCATCTGTCCGTCTGGTACCCGTGGGTAAATAGACCGGTAAGTAGCGGGGATGTTTGGGCGAGAATGAGAGAGTTGAGATGGGTGGATGGGCGAGAAAAGGGGGTCTGCAATGTTTGATGCCCATTTTTTTTTTAGGTGACAGAATAGTGGAAATTGGATTCCATAAAATCCAACCACCGAAACTGTCACTGGTTGAGCAGTGGTTGTGCACGAATGTACCGTAGGGCTGCGATGGTCTGTCCGTACTCTCATGTCCGCACCTGTCAGGTAGCACCGCTGAAAGCATGCACAATTGCGAGCATTTCCTTGTCGTGTATCGGGATAGTTTCGCTCATGCGGGTGTAAACATGCATAAATCGTACGCAATTGGCTGCAGACCTTCGCAAAAGTCCTGGTAACAGTACTGCTTCGATGGCAATGTTGCTGGCATCAGTGATGACTTCGAATGGACGGTGGAGGATCGACGATGCGAAGGACAGGGGCTGAGCACAGAAAAGTTTTTGAGTGCGAAGAATGCAGCTTGCTCTTTCTCCCCCCATCTATACTCAGTCCCTTTTCGCAAAGGCAGGTCGGTCCCACGGTGCAGTTACCACCCGCCCATAATTCGGGATGAATCTCTGAACATAATTTACGAATTCCTAACAAAACTTTGGCAGCTCTTGCGGATTCATAGGCGGGTAGCCAGGGCTTGCACAGTCTCAATCTTAATGCCGGTCTAACTTCGACACCCTTAGTGGAGATAGCGGTGGCCTAAAAATTCTAACATATCTTTTAAGAACTCGCACCTAGACCCTTCGTGAGCAACCGATGATCTTGCAGTAGCGTGAAAATTGCTTCGAGATCCTTTAGGTGTGCTCCCGGAGTCTCGCTGTAAATTATGATATCACCTAGGTAGACTATAACACACTTTATCTACTAGCGAACTGAAAATCCTGGCTCATGGTCATTTGAAAAGGTGGAGGTTGGAGCAGAAGCGGAGATGGAGGTGAAGGTGGAGATGGGAGGTGCCGGCGCGGGGGGGGGGCGCAGAAGAAGTGGGAGTGGGGGGGCAGCGGCAGGAGCGGGTGCATGGGGAGGTGCAGGTGCGGGCGGAGGTGCAGGTGCGGGCGGAGGTGAAGAGGCAGCGGAGCCCGGTGGGGGAAGGGCGGTGGAGAGAAGAGTGGAAGGAGATGGAGGAGGCGACGTGTGGGGGCCGCAGGGTCAGCGGACCTAGAGGGAGGAGGTGGAGAGGGCTTGTCAAACCCCATGCGATGACGACATCCCAGAACAGGCTGCTTTTGAGGAGAGTAAGTGGACGGACGCATAACGGGAGTGATCGTAAACGAGCACTAGGAAGTAAGAGTGCCCGCCACGTGAGCGTACTGGAGCCGAGCCCAAACGTCCATGTGGACGAGGTCAAGCGGGAGGCGGCTGCTGCAGAGGGCGAGGAAGGGTGAGGCAGCTGGCGCAGTTTTACTTGCGCACAGTCCAAGCATGGATGAGTGGGAGAAGTGGAGGGTGGAGGAAGTGTCTCGAGCAGGTGAAGAAGCAACTTCTTGGACGCAAGCTCGGAAAGCATGCGGAAGTTGGGATGCCCCAGACAATGGTGGTAAAGAATGATTGGTCAGTGAGCTGACAGCAGAGCACGATGGGGTGGTGGAGGTAGAGTGCGCCTCAGTGGGAGATGGAGGTACTTTGAGTGTGTAGAGGTTGTTGGCCGTCACTGTGAAGTGTGCAAGGAGGGTATTGTTGGTGGGGTCAAGGAGATCAGAGTGGTTAGAGTGAGCAGGAAGATGGTGGTTACCCGTGCTCGCTGAATCTCATGCTGTGCAAGTAGATTGTGTCGAAGAGTGGGCACGCATATGCCAGTGACTGAGCCTGATGGGAAGGATGGGCATGGAAGAGTGGAAGAACCATGGGCGACAGTTGTGAAGCTGGAGTCACCGCCAGGAGAGGAATGGGTGTTTGGTATGGTTTGATCAACTCTTTGTTTTGGAGAATTGTGTGGGTTGCGCCACTGTCAGGACTAATTCAAGTGGTTGAGATGGTGTTTGTGCAGACGTCGAGTACTGGGAACTAGTTTCATTGATCATGGGAAGGCTAAGGAACACTAGGTTGAGACGAATTCAGGACTATGGGCATCAGCGGCTGAGTCCTGACTATCTTGTGCCTCAACATGGTTGAGCTGGTGCATGCGAAGCCAGTTGGGCGGCTTGGAGTTGATCCCATTCTTGGCAAACACTCTTCGTCCTTTCTCTTGAAGAAGGTGGCGAGAGGGTGATTGGTGCGCCGCACACCTGACCCGTACGCGGTCGCATCTTGATGACGTAAGGACAAGGTGGGTAGCGGTTACGAGTGGGTGGTGCATTAGGGCGGGATGCTGGGCTGGGACAGGAGCACGGGCGCATTTGCTCGAGCTTGTGCAGTGTTGTCCTTTTCAGCAGAGAGAAGCGTGGAAGGGACCTTGGCAAAGGTTAGGTCTGCTGGTGGGGAGATGGAGAAGCATGGGGCGAGTGACAGCCCAACAAGCTAAGCTGCTGCAGGGCTTGCTCTGGGAAGACAATGCCGAGTTGCTTTTAGCTCCTGATGAATAAATATGCGGGGCACTCGTCCAGGCACACTTGAAACATGTGGGAATGAGGATTGCCACCCCACAGCGGTTTTGTTGAGGAAGCGATCATTGGGATACTCCCAATGGCATGCGCAGAAGGGTAGTTATGGTAAGTTTTGACGAGCTCGGAAGGGGTTGTGCCAAAAAAGACGCCGATGATGGCGGCGTCGGCTTGCTCCCACACGCTGTATGATTCTCATACTTAGACATGGATTCCTCATGTGCCTTGGTCTCTTCCTCAGTGGCCGTGGCCGAGAGCTTCTTGGGAAGGGCCGGCATCTTTCCTTTGCCGCGATTGAGGAGGACATCCTTGAGGTAAATCCCTCTATCTTAGTAGATGCTTATCAACCTCATAGCTCCACTCCTTGAAGTTAGGGCTTGAGCCATTTGGTCGAGACGCGAGTGATTGGGTTCGAGAGAGACGCGGAAGGGTACGCCATGATGCTGCAAGACCCTCGCGGCGTAACGAAGCTCTTAAGTCGCCGATAGGCACTTCACGAAAACGAAATTTTCCTTTGCGGATTTTCAACACTCGGAGAGCGAGAATGACGGATTTAGAGGGAAATCCGATCGCCGGAAAATCGATATGAAATGTTGATATGCTGCTGCGATCCCGCTACTCCGCGACCCCCCCCCCCCCCCCCCTTGTCCGCTTCGCCGCTGCCCCTTTCCGCTTCGTTGCTGCACCCCGCTGTTGCAAGGCGACGGGCAGCAGCCCGTCCAGCTTCGATGAGCAGATGCGGGGCGACGGGCGACAGCCTGAACAGGTGCGATGAGCAGATGCGGGGCGACAGGCTCAGCCGGATCAGGTGCGATGAGCAGATGCGGGCCGACGGGCTCAGCCCGAAGTGAAGCGCAAAGAGCTGAGCGACAGGCAGAAATCCGGCGGGAGCCGCAAGCGCTAAGATCTGAGGAGGGAAAACAGAATGTGCTTAGGAGCGTGACGACTTAGCACTGAGAGAGGTTGTGCAAACTAGAGCGCACAAGTGAGGCTCCGGCGGAGCGAGAGGATCATGAGCCGCATGGGCGGGAACGGAGCTCTGATACCATGGCCGAAACTGAGAACTTAAGTGCAAGAGCAAGAGCAAGAGCATACATCCCTAAGTACGAGCATTGGAGAGGATGGGAAGGGATAAAGGAGAATCGGAGGAATCCCAAGGGAATCCTCCCAAATCTTGGGGATCCAGGATGGATTGGATTGGGATAGGTTGGGGATGAAAACAAGGCTACACCCAACCTAACAAATATGCCTAACCCTAAAACCAACAAATTACTCGCACACAAAGTTGTGCAACCGAATTGCAGCCATCTCCAACAAAGGAACCATGCGTGAGGAGTCTATTTTTGAGGCGCCTCAAAGGATGCCTGTGAAAGAACCATGCGTGAGGAGTCTATTTTTGAGGCGCCGCAAAGGTTGCGTGTGAAAGTACCATGCGTGAGGAGTCTATTTTTGGGGCGCCTCAAAGGATGCCTGTGAAAGAACCGTGCGTGAGGAGTCTATTTTTGAGGCGCCTCAAAGGATGCCTGTGAAAGAACCATGCGTGATGGGTCTATTTTTTAGGCGCCTCAAAGGATGCCTGTGAGAGACCTTGCATCATCACATGCACCCCGTGCGCCCTCCCTCCCATTGTGCATTTGATCCATCCCTTGCAGTTGACAGAGGGGGATGCCCTGGTGGCGCTTCGCCTGGTGGGGAGAGCAGCGCGGACAGCGAAGGTGAGACGGGGGAGTGGGAGGTTAGGATAATTATGATAGAATAATGCGTGTATGGGAAGAATTGGGGAGGAGAGGAGGGGAGAGGAGAAGGGAGAGGAGGCGGCGATAAGAGCCGAGGAGAGGGGAGGAGAGGGGAGGAGAGGAGAGGGAAAGCGAGAGGAGAGGAGAGGAGAGGAGAGGAGAGGAAGGAGGGGAAGGAAGAGGAGAGGAGAGGAGAGGAGGGGGGGGGGAGGGGAGGGGAAGGGAGAGGAGAGGAGAGGAGAGGAGAGGGGAAGGGAGAGCAGAGGAGAGGAGAGGGGAAGGGAGAGGAGGAGCCGATAAGAGCAGAGGAGAGATGAGAGAGGAGAAGAGACGGGAGATGGGAAGTGGGAAAGCCGGGAGAGTGCATACCCATTCCTTTATGCGAATGCGGGAGAGTGCGGGTCAGGAAGAGCTGGTAGACAGGCATGATGGCTTATAATGAGTGTGAGAACGAACAAGGGAAGATGCCCCACAGCCACTGACGCCTAATCCATATTTCTTCCCACAGTCGCCGAAGCCACTACCATAATCATTATGTATTGACTGTGCCGAGCTGCTCGTGGCATTCCCTTCATATCCATTCTCCGTTTTGCTACTCCCCCTCCCCCCCTCACCAGACCGCAGACGCTGAAACCAATGCCGAGGTACCTACTACGGAGTACGGGGAGTTGCTAGTGGGTAGTGACCCGGGCATCATCAACCGTTTGAGAGTCAATGACAGTCCGAGCCGCTCACGCACCTCCCTCTCCCCATCCCTATCCATCTGGCCCTATCCCCCACCCCAGCTCTTGAAGCTACCGAGGTACCTACTATTGAGTGCGGGGAGTTGCTAGTGGGCAGCGATGCGGGCATCATCAACCGTTTGAGGGTGAGGGACATCCCTGTCCACTCGCGCACCTCCCGCGGCTGCCGCCTCATGCGCATCGCCCCTGGGGACAGCCTCACGTCCGTGTCGCTCGTGCCGCGTGCGGCGGAAGGGGGGCTGGATGATGAAGATGCTCCTCTAGTGGTGCCGGAGGGAGGGGCGAGTGACGAGGAGAGCGAGGAGGAGGAGGTGGTGGTAGGAGCGCAGAGCGTGAAAGCTACGGTGATGAAAAGGCTCTGAGTTTGCCTCATGCGCATCGCTGCAGGGGATCGGCTCTCGTCCGTGTCGCTGGTGCCAGCTGCCGCAGAGGGGGAGCTGGACGACGAGGATGCTCCTCTAGTGGGATACGGCACCGCTGACTTTGCCACTTCTGCAGTGTGCCTTCTCTCAAGAACCGAGAGGTGTCCTCCTAGTCATGGACTCGTAGCCCAATGGGGTGTCCTGTCCGAGAGGTGTCCTCCTAGTCATGGACTCATCGCTACTCGCAGCAATGGTATTGGTTGTTGTTGTCCTAGTCATAGCTCAATAGTTCTACGGTACTTGCACCGCCTGGAGTCTGGGACGGGAAGCATAAAAACTAGGAATTTGGGCATGATATATTTATGCTTAGGTAGGAAGGAACCAAAAACTCTAAAAGCGAGGTCCAACCAAGTGACAACCAAAACCTTTCAGGGTCTGGTTGGGGAGACTACTAAAGCTACCGATAGTCTCTTCGAACATTGTAACAATACGGATTCCTGTGGGAGAAGTGTACCACCACTACATAAGCTGGGCATGCTCATCCATAGAGAGGTTGGGTTGGATATTCCAATATGGTTTTTCTTTTCAGAAGCACAGCAAATATGGAATCTGGGAAACGGATTCTCCTCTGGTTGACAATACACAGTGCACGGCTGGAGGGCTTTCCACTCCGGGCAACACAGCCTGATGAACAACTCAATCCTGCCAGCAGTGGACACAGAAACAAAGGATGAGGGTACGGGGCCGTGGGGGGAGAGGGGAGGGGGGGAGGGGGGGAGGGGGGGTGTGGACGAATCAGCAGCTTGTAAAGCTGTGGCAGCAGCAGCAGGAGAGCGAATCAGGAGCAGCAACCGCTCGAACAACAGCAGCAGCAGGGGCGAATCTGGCTGGGCGGATATGGTGTAGGCAGAGCCGATGTGAGCAGCTTACAAGCAGGTTTACCTGGGGGAGTTGATCAGTGAATTCCAGTGTACCAGCAGCAGAAGAAGACTTTTGAGTCGACTCAAAAGTACAAGCAGGTTTACCTGGGGGAGTTGATCAGTGAATTCCAGTGTACCAGCAGCAGAAGAAACAGGCACAGCAGCGGCAGCAGCGGCAGCAGCAGTACAAGCAGCATTTTTAGTGAACCGCAGCAGATGGCCATCCAAAATGTGAGACGTAAGCAGCTTTGACCCTTGCTTACCTGGGGCAGTTGATCCGACGACCCTGATGCACCAGCGGCAGCCGAAGCAGCAGCAGCAGCAGCAGCAGCAGCAGCAGCAGGGGCAGCAGGGGCAGGGGCAACCGGGGCAGCTCTAGCAGCGGCAGGGGCGGTGAATTGCGGCAGGTGGCCGTCCAGAATGCGAGAGCAGTCGGTGTAGGCAGAGCCGATGCCGCAGCCAGCGCCAAAGGCTAGAGCGGCCCACCGACTGGTCGGGCTCCCTGAACGGTGCGGGGAGGGCGAAAGGAAGGGGAACGGGGGTAGGGAGAGCCGTCGTTGTAGGCACAGCCGACCGCAACCAGTGCCAAAGTCTAGAACGGCCCACCAACTGCTCCTGAATGGTGGCGGGATTGAGACAGGGGGCGGCGGTGGGAGGAAGAAAGGAAATTTTGAGACGACTCTTGAAGGCCAGAGCAGCCCACCAACTCGTGGAAATTTCTGGTCGACCCGCGAAAGAGAGTGCGTCGTCGGAACGTCGCGGCGGGGAAAGGGAGAGGGACGCGTTGGGACGGAACGTCACGACGTGTCGTGTGAGACAGAGGTAAGACTTGCCACAAACTTGCCAGACTTGCTCAAGAGTGGAGGAGATGGCGGGATGCAGCAGGAAGGGGTAGAAGCGGCGGGGCGGGGGGGGGCGCGGTGGGGGCGCGGTGGGGGCGCGGTGGGGGCGCGGTGGGGGGGGGGAGCGGCTACGCTACTGGCTTACTAAAAGAGCACGAGCGCAGTGGCGGCGCCTGCGCGGGAGCTTTAGACGAATCGGCGGAGCGAGAGGTCGACGCAGCAATCGCTACCAACACTTAGTGAAGAGTAGACGGTTATCAACCACTTACTGAATAGTACGAGCCCAGTAGCGGCGCCAGCGAGGGAGCTGTAGACGAAGCGGCGAAGCGAGAGATCGACGCAGTGGTCCCACTTGTCGTCCATCAGCAGATCCTGTGTCCTGCGACTCGAGGCAGCCATGGCTGATTCTCGTGTGCCTCTACTACAGCAGTGGTGGCGGCTTGCGCAAAACTGATGGGAAATCGTTTTTTTTTGCAAATCGCGACGCTGCGCACCTAATCGCACGCGCGCTAGAGGGCCCGTGAATCTGCCGGTCGATGCCGGTCGATTTCTGCCGGTAGGTGTCCTGCCACGAACGGCGACGGCAGCAGGTACGGAGCCGGTAAGGGAGATTCGTGCACTTATGCGCTTATGAAGCCGAATCTACGGAATCACGAAGACCAGCAGCGACTTCGCGGTGCCTCTAGCGCGACGATGAGCGAGGCGCGTCGCGACGGGACTGCTGGTAAGAGCAGCTTCTAAGTGAGGCTGGCCCAAGGAGCAATGTGACTAAAACGAATGGCTGTCGGTAATTAGTATTGTGAAGGGGAAAGGGGTGGGGGAGGTGTGCATAGGGGAAAGATGCGCGGTTAGCAGGGGTGCGGGGTGGTGGGGCGCGGAACGGCTGGGGGAACTGTTGGTCATTGGGAGAGGGGTGGTGGGGGGGGGGCGTGGGGGCGCGGTTCATTGTGGGGCAAGTGGCGGGGGCCCAGGGGCAGAAAGGCAAGTGAATTTCAACCTCAAGTTCGAACTTACACCACACCAGACCACTTTTGACCACTCCATAGAAAACCATCTAACTGGTTTTAACCTCACTTGAAGTTCGGGCTTTGCAAGGTGAGAGTTCTCGTGATTTACGCGCCTAGTGCGAATTGTGAAAGGAGTAGCATAACTGGTTCTGAAAGTAAAGTCTTCACTTGGTCAAGCGCAGCTCCTCTCTGGAGCAAGTCGGTTAGCGGGGCTCTTGACTCCGCCATTTGAGGGATCAAACGGCGCACGTAATTGACGAAACCCATAAAACTCTGCAACTCTTTGACGTTGGTGAGCGCCTCCCAGTTGCGAATAGTAGCATTTCTTTTCAAGTCAATCTTAACGTCTTCGGTGGAGATGACGTGGCCCAAGAATTCCAGCTGCTCTTTAAGAACTCGCACTTAGAGCCTTTGGTGATGAGGCGGTGTTGATCGCAGAGGGTAAAAACTGCTTCTAGATCCTTCAAATGTTGTTCCCGAGAGGTGTTGTATACCAGGATGTCGTCCAGGTAGACGATGACACACTTGTCCAATAGCGAGCGGAAGACTTCATTCATGATCAATTGAAAAGTTGAGGGTGTGTTCCTCAGTCCAAACGGCATCACTGTATATTCGTAAGTGTCGTAACAGGTTCGAAAAGCAGAATTTGGATATCAGATTCGGTGACACGAATCTTGTGGTAACCTCCTCGTAGATCGATCTTGGAAAAAATCCTGGCCCCGCGAAGCTGGTCAATGAGATCGTCGGCTCGTGGAATCAAGTAACGCGACTTGATGGTGATGCTGTTGAGTGCGCGATAGTCGGTACACATGTGAAGCCCTCCGTCCTTTTTGGGGGTGAAGAGGATCAGCGCGGCGTAGGGTGACGTAGATGGGCGAATGATTTTTTTCTCCAACTGGTAATCCAGTTGCGTACACAGCTCCAGCAGTTCCAGTTGACTCACCCTCCATTGCGATCGGACGGTCGATTGCGCTCCTGGTTCCAGCTCAATTTTGTAATCGTGTGGTCGTTCGGGTGGTAGGCCGGGCGGTAGCTCGTCGGGAAATATCTTCGCCAATTTCCGCATGATCTTTGCCAAGTAAGGCTGCACGCAGCTTCTCCATATCGGTTTGTTCAGCCACCTCCGTTGATGCGATCCATCGGACGGCGTAAACATTCACGACCCGTGCCATCACACGCTTGATAATCGCGTTCTTCACCAATGTTGACTGAGGGTCGAGTGGTTTCCACTTCGGCAATCGTCGCCACTCGCCGCCCACTTCAAACGAATGTCGCCATTCATCCAATCGATGATGGGATTGTACGTGCGAAGCCAATCGCACCCAGGAGCACATCGCAGCCGTCCAAGGTTGTCGCCATCATCTTCATAGCAAAACTGACTTGGCTGTCGCAATCAATGCGAACGTGTTTCACCCGCTCCCGGATTGCAAGTGGTGTGTCGTCGACCAACCTCGCGTCGATCTCGGGCATGCACCTCTCTATTTGCAGCTGCAGATTCTTCGCTATTGTCGCATCGAACAGACTGTGTGATGCTCCGCCATCCACAAATGTTTTTAATCTTGTGTTGCCAACGCGCCCTTCCACCAGTACAGGGCAGTCAACAGGTTCACTCCCTTTAACCGGGTGTGGTCGATCACATAGATCGGCACTATGACTCGGTGGGAATGGTGATCTTCGGGCGACGAAGCCTCACAGTAGGGGGCCTGACCTACTAGAAAATACAGCGACGGAACTTTCTGTCCACATGTTGGTCATGAAGTGGACAAAATCAGAGCCCATGAGAAACTGAGCAGGTTTTTTAGTTTCTGGTTTTAAGGTTCTAGTTACTATTGTTATCGGCTTGTATGACAAATAACATGTTGTCCAAAAACACACCATAATAGAACATAGAACAACCAAGATCAGAAGAGGTACACTCGGACAGAATGTTCCCAGGATGAGCCACAGTTGAAATTATCAATAACAATACCGTGTCCATCTCCCCTTGGCCTTATTTTTGCTATGATGTCGTCGGGCGGCGCATGCGAATTTTGCGTTGGACCTCCGGCTTTAGACCTGTATGATGTATCGACTCGTTTTTTCAGCCTCGTGTAGATCGTCGATTTTGACGCCACCCGAACAGCTTCACGCGAGCGTTTTCGCATGCGGATACATGCTCGAAGCGCCGGCGAGGAAGTGCACCCCACTGTTGTCATGTAAGGATCTCGGCCACACCAAATATTGATCCTGTAGAAGCTGAAGCAAATCGTTGCTCCCCGTCACGTACTGTCGCCACCAACTTAATGCAAGTCCTCGTAATAAAGACACCGCCAACTTGACGCATATCTCATCGTCGTTGACAATAGCGGCATTGGATGAACAGTTCCATGGTGAACAGCCACCCACTCAGCATGGTATGCTTCTCCAGTGGGTTGAACGGCGGGGGCATGGCAGGTTTGATCTTCACGATTGCCGTCGCTCGCTCGAATTGTCGCCAACCTTAGTCGTCAGTACCGACGCACTTGCTGCCGCCTCTGACAACTCAGCTTTTTGCTCGGGAGTCATGTTTCTAATACTACGATGAGGAGGGCTATTGACCATTAATTACCCTAGCACTACGACACCAGTAGCGTTAGCGACGTAGAGCGCACACGATAAAGTTGGGGAACACGAAGAAGTTCCTGCACGACTGCTGGACTGCTCCAGTCTCCTAACGTGCGAGGTCCCTCTAAAAACTACTTCACTACGGAAACCTAGATGGGCATGAACGTAGCTCTGATACCAACTGTTATGATATCTCCAGATAGGAGTCGAGTAATACAGAAGTGAGGTCGTGATTAAAAAAGTGTCGAGTACAAATGAAGGCACATGACTAAAATATAAGCATAGCTACAGCGACGGAACAATCTGTCCCCAAAATGGCAATGTTTAGCAAGTTCATGATGTTTTGACAAGTATAAATAAATTATTTACAATCTGGAGCCTGTGGACATTATGCAAAAACAATTGATGCACCTCCAGATATAACAAAGTCTAGCCAATATCGAATCGCTAATAACGAGTACAAGCTTTAACGCTCGACGGTCGATGCGGACAAATACTACCCGAGTAAAGACTAGATCTGTTTCCGTCGAGCATTCTTTGCACGAGCTAGCAAAGCTGCTCAGACTTTTGCTAGCGCATGCCCCTTACCCCGTGATCCTCCAGCAACCACGCGCCGCTTGCTTCGCGTCAGAGATACCAGATCATGAGCCTTTGGCGCCAGTGTCTGAGTTTTCGACCGATCGCACGAACGCTAGGAATAGGGCAGAGAATCGACCAAAAAAACACTCTGAAGGCTAGTCACAGCAGTAGTCGTCTAGTAGCTAGGCCAACTGTCCACTCTTTAGGTCGACCGCGACTGCTCACAGCGTGATACATGTGCACTTTCGTGGCACACCATCATGTTAGGTGACGCGTTGATGAGCATTGAGGCTGCATAACCGCTGGAACCGAATCACGTTGTTAAGGTCACCCTCACACTGTACGAAATGCCTCTCGGTGACTGGGTTAGTTGCTGTACAACTATTGTGTAAGCCTCAATTATTAGCGCGCAACATGTGCGACTATACAGAATTTCGCAGAGCCCACCTAGACTGGACTCTGATGACTGGAAGCGGGTGATCTGGTCGAACACGACTCAGATCACTCGATATTGCTTGGATAGCCACACTCACGCATGGATTCGCGAAGGCGCTGCTCTCTAGGGGCATCAGGTGAAGTAGACTGTGAAGCATGGGGGCGGGCCAGACATGGTTTGAGTCTGTATAATGTCTGATGTGCTTAGTTACATGTGCAATATTGATGGCCGCACAGATGGCCAACTCTATCACAGCATATTGCAGGACGAGGTGGCTCAAACTCTTGATTCCTATGATTTGACCATCTCTGGCATGACGTTCCAGTACACTATACGACCCCAAACCCAAGTGCAGGATCGTTCAGGAGTGGCTAGAAGAGCAAGTTTCCGTGGTCCTACAATGACCCTATTCCTCCCCCGACCCCAATCCCATCAAGCAGCTCGCCAAGCATGAGCAACCCCCCACAGGCATGCTGCAAACTTGGGAGCAGGTGCACGAGGCATGGAACAGCATTAGGGCTAGCATGTGCAAGGCTCTTATAGACACTATGCCTAGGAGGATCAGAGCAGGAGGTAGGGTTAAGGGGAGATGGACCTGGTATGGATATCGATAATTTTAAATGTCGCTCAACCCGGGAACATTCTGTCCGAGTGTACCACTTGTGATCTTCGTTGTGCTATGTTCTGTTCTTGTTTGTTTTTTGGACAAGTTTTCATCTGTCACACAAGCCTACAACAGTGGCAACTTGAACCTTAAAACCGGGTCATAAAAAACCTGATCATTTTCTCATGGGCTCTGATTTTGTCCAGTTAATGGCCAACACGTGGACAGATTGTTCCATCGCTGTAACCTAGCAAGGGAGCCTCAAGGAGGGCCACAAAACACACGCGATGTGGTTTGGGGCGCTTCGGGACTCGGAAGTGTCGGATGCGACGCCGTGTGTAGGCTTGGGGTCTTGAACGTAGTTTGAGCTAGGATTCCGAAAGTCACGGCTGTACTCAATGTTAGCGAGGCTCGATAAGGAAAGGGGATTTTTTTACAAAGTAAACCATATACACCTTAACTCCTATTGGATCCCACGGTTTTGGCATGCGACCTGAGCCTCTAAACAGGAAACGGTCAAACCCGGGCAAACGGGACATTGAAGGGGAAATCCAATAGTAAGAACTATCACTTGGTTAAAAATTCTCGCTCATGCACTAGATCATTTAACTGCGCGACGTCCGATCTCGGATTCTCGCAAATTTTGAAATACGACTCGACGGTTCGCTATTGTAAAGACAGCAGCCAATCAGGTTCACTGTCAACGCGAGCCATTCTGAGAACCTGGTCGGTGGGATTGAAATTTAGACTGTTCCGTGTGGGACAATAAATGAGAAAAGGTGTAGAAACTGCGCGTATTTCTTCCAATTTTTTGTGGCCAATATCGTTCACACTCGAATTATTCCTCGAACGCTGTTCAGGCATAATCCCTTCGACTTTTGTGACACTGTTATAGCAAAGCTTTGGCCTGGCTCGCACCACCCCAACCACCCCACCCCAACCACCCCACCCCAACCACCACAGCCAAGCATAGCACAGTCGCGTCTCCAGAGAAGGGGTGGTTTGGGTGGTGGTGGCGAGCCAGGCCAAAGCTCTGCTGTAACAATGTCACAAAAGTCAAGGGATTACGCCTGAATGCTATAGAGAGTACAACCCACTAGCTATTTACCCCTGTATACCCCCATTCTACTCAACAATTCTAACTCTAAGATTGTATCAGAGCAGGTTAGGTCTCCCCCGCCCTACTGCTCTTCCGCCTTAGGTCCTAGCCGGCCCCGTCGCCTAGCGCCAAGCTGCCCCGTTGGCCCCGTTGCCTAGTTGGCCGTCCACCCCGTCTCCTAGAGCCTGCTGGCCCCGCGAACCCGTTCCCTAGCACCTAGTCGCCCGTGGCCCCGTTGCCCCGCCACCTAGCGCCTAGCCGCCCCGCTGGCCCGCGGCCCCATCACCTAGCGCCTAGCCGCCCGTGTCCCCGTGGCCCCGTCACCCAGCGCCTAGCCGCCCCTGTCCCCGTCGTCTCGTCACGGGCGCCTTACGGCCCGTGGCCCGTCGCCTCGTCGCCTTGCGCCTAGCGTCCTGCTGGCCCCGCGACCGCGTCGCCCCTAGCGTAGCCGCCCTGCCGCCCCGTCGCCTAGCCGCCCCGTTGCCTAGACGCCCACGGCCCCGTCACCCAGCCGCCCCGCGGCACCGTCGCCCAGCCGCCCCGCTGCTTCGTGGCCCCGTCGCCCAGCCGCCCCGCGACCTCGTCGCCCCGCTGCTCCGCAGCCCCGTCGCCCAGCCGCCCACGGCCCCACCTCCTAACTGCTCAGTGGCCCTCCCCCCCCCCCCCCCACTCCGCCGTGTTTCCCGGTCCCCCCTCGCTAAACCGGCCCTCTCCATCATCCTGCACCGCGCCCCACCGTGCTGCACCGCTCAACACCGCACTGCATCGCGCCCCACCGCACTGCACCA